GCTGGGCTGCTTCTCCATGGGCCTCCTGTTTCTCATGCTGGAGCACTTCTGAGCGTGAGGCCTTGGGGAGGGTCTCTGCAGCCACACCAGCACAGATGCTCATCTTCAAAGGTGATGCTTTGAACTTTGTGTGGTCTTTCTGGCTGCTCAAGGGAGGTAGAAGCCAGAAAGCGAATTCTAGTCCTTGGCCTTTTTTCTCTGCCTGCCCTCTTGATTCTTTTGTCACAATTGTTTAAATGACTGTCTCAAACACACATGCTCACACCTACAAAACCTGATAAGAGATTTCCCCAATACTCTTCATTGCTTTCCCAATTGTCAAACATCAATTTGTAACAATCATTTCTTTTAATAAAGTTTCAGGTAACAGGACCTGTTTAACACCAGGAGGAACCAATAATGGGCCACAAAGTCTGAAGTTTATAAATTACTGTGCAGACACACAAATGCAAGCAAAATAAGGAAACACGCCTACTAACCGACATTTGGTTCCGGCTACAATCCGGCACATGTATGACAATAATCCCAATGAAAACAGCAAGACTTGCTTTCTTAGAATGAAGTTGTTAGATGCATCCAGATTTGCAGAAGATAATTAATTGTCCATTTGCCTGTCTCCTAGAGAAAACGTTGCGGCAATTTTGAAGGAAAGGTCCAGCATTCTAATGTTATTGAATGTTCTTGGTAATATTCTTGTTATTGCCTCCAAGAACACTACGCTCTGGGGATCAAGGGAGCCATTTCACCCTTCTGCCACTTAATCGTCTTTTCTTCTCTATATGCTCTCAGTCCTTAGCAGAGTCTTTTCAGGAAAATGTTCTCTCCCACTGAAATCGGGGGGGGGAGGGGTATTTCGTGCAACCACACTGCTAGTTTTTTGTGGTTTTTTTTTTGCTTCAATTGGCTCCATTTCTTCATTAGTATTTGCAATTCATGGTGGCAATTATTTATTTATTTAATGAGATCCCAACCTCCTCTGGGCCAAGGCCAATCCTAAATTTGATTCCTCTTAGCCTAAATTAAGTTCCATGCATTAAATGCCACCAACGTATTTAAACGTTTTCCCGACCCAATACATTTAACAATCAAATCAGTGCTAAATTTTAGAGCTTCAGACTCATCCACAGTTTATGAAAGGCCACTAGTGAGCAAAAGGCCTTGGCAGGCAAGAGAGCAGAGATCCCTGCCCTGATGAACTTGCAATCTGAAATTAAGCACACAGATCAGGGGTCAGCAACCCACGGCTCTGGAGCCGCATGTGGCTCTTTCATCCCTCTGCTGTGGCTCCCTGTCGCCAGCCGGCTCCACAATTGATGGGGCTTTTGGTTGGGACAGGTAGAGGAAAAAGAAGCCGCACAAGGAGGAGACTCTATGGTCAGGGAACTGGACTTCCGGTTGGAAGAAGAAAAAGGATGCCGTGCTAGGAGGAGACTCTATGGTGGTGGCGATGGTGGGGGGAACCGGACCTCTGGCCGGCTCCAGAATTGAACAGGGGGGCTTCCGGTTAGGATCTTTGTGGCTCTTTGAGTGTTTAAGGTTACCGACCCCTGGATGGGAAAAGGAGGCAGGGTCACCTGAGTTTCACTTCTTTATAGTTTTAAAAATCTATAATCTAGATTTAAATCTAAAATCTGATCAAGTGCTCTGATCTCTCGGAGATAAAAATGACACATCCGTTTGTTAGGTCAAGAAAACTCGTGATTTATCTATGGCCCAACTGGTACTAATGGTGCAGACTAACTTAATCCCATTAATTTGATGTGTAAATAAACCCCTCTAAACTCAGCAGGATTCTGACAGTCTGGTTTTTTTTTAAATCTCAGGGCCCTGAACAGCTGGAAACATGCAGGTTTTAGATCAAGAGGGAAAGAGCATGTCCCCTGGGAGCTTTCCTTAGGCCAGTGGTTCCCAAACTTGGCAACTTTAAGACTTGTGGACTTCAACTCCCAGAATTCTCCAGCCAGCAGAGCACAAGTCTTAAAGTTGCCAAGTTTGGGAACCACTGCCTTAGGCCCCAGTCCCATCTAAGTCCATTTGTATAACAATGTTAAGGGTCTGGGATTTCCCCAACTTCTGCCTTTCACATTCTCTAGGGCTGCAATTCAATGTTTCAGCATACAGGCTTGGCTTCTAAGAGCTGCATTTCCAAAGTACTGAGAGATTCTGCAGCAGAGGCAATCTGGAGTGCATTCAGTTATTATCAATTAAGCAGAATGGGAATTATAACTTCTATTGATGTTAACTTATTCTGAACTCCTTGAAATTACATCTGTTCCAGCCATCTATCCTGGAACAGGATAGTCCAGAAGCCTTCAATGCCATTCCTTAGTTGGGGATGGCTTACAGCTCCTGCATTGTACTTGCCCGCCTACATCTATTACAGCCTATCTCTTGATTTCGAAAATTATATGCTCACATGAAACCCATGCCATGATTGAAACCAATGAGAAAAGAGGATGCACATTTAACAAAACTTTAATATAATTAGCATCTTTAAGCTCCCTTCTTCAGACCCTGAAAGGTATAAGCGGCATTTTATTACAAACTTCAAAGTTAAAGAAATTTAAATACAACCAGGATGATAGAAAAGAAGATGTGAATCTATTATGAACATATCCACAGTTGTAGAACAAACAATAAGCTGGATGATTTTAAGTCAGCTCTTATTTTATTAGGACCACCATGGCTCATGTATTAGTTGGTTATTTATGAGATGTGAACACATTTAAGCAGCTTAAAAATATATTTCTGGGAATCCATTGGAAGATACTTGCAAAAAAATAGAGTTAATATTAGTGATTTTTAATAACTGACAGCTATCTTTAACATCAATAACATCAAACAATGTTTTCTTCCAAATTATCATTATGCCACATAAAACTCCACAAAATTATACCAAGAAGGTGGGTATTGCTTGCTTGCAAACATTATCCCACTCACTGAATCACTGCATTTATGGAACTTACATATAATTACAGCTCTTGGAACTCCAAAGTTAAAAGGCTAAATTATAGAGCAGATAAAAATCTCATCCTAAATGCATAGAAAACAGAGCAGCTCATAGCCCTTTTCCAGAGGTGCACTGCATTGTCCCATTTGTATTAAAGCTTTATTTGACCAAAGCACATACACAATTATTGCCAGGGGCTCAATCCAGGCCTTATAGTTCTTCTGCCCCATTGGAAGGGATTGAACCCAAATTTCTAACGGCTTTATTCCAAACAGCCCTATGTGTGTTAATATAGTATTAAAAAACCAGGAGTGTGATTTTCATTAAAAACATATGCCTTTTAATAAAATTTATACATTTAAAGCGGCTGTTAGATTCCTTCCGACTTTTCTTTTGCCCAAATAGGCTTAACAGGTCTCTTCTTCTGCAATGTCTTTAATGTAATAGAGAGGAAAAGGTTGAGAAAAGCTCCACGGATTAACATTGTTGCCTATTGATAGAAGTAACTATTTTTTTCAGACAGCCTGGGCTCCCTCCTCTTTGTAAATAATTACGGGTGGATATGGGCTCTGCAAGAATTGCAATCCTGTGTTTTTTCTAGGGAAGGCCTTTTAAATGATGAGCTGTGACCAAGCAAGTTATATGTCCATGATCTGAAAGACCAGTGGATCAATGGGCAATATTTTTCTGAGTAGCCAGGCCCTTACTAGGCCAACAAGGCATCTGGCACATATAACTGACCCTAAACCCCAAAGAGTGCTCACCTGAACTAGCCTCAATGTTCTCCTCCCTAAGGCAGCTCTTGAAGGCGGATATACAATATCCAACCCCTGACAGCCCCAAGAGCCAAGACTGGGCCTTTTTGAAGAAGTCCCTATTTCTCTCTCTCTAAAGAATGCATTCTAGAGGCTTCGTGTTTTTGGGCTCATAAATCTACCTAAGCAAGCTAGGAAGAACTCCTAAACCATGTTCTCTTTTGGGAACTTTTAAAATAAGTAAGCTGTAAAGCTTGGCTCAATAGGGCAGACCAGTTCTTTCAGAGTCTTCCTGCAATGAGCACTCAATAGATTTCCCCAACTTCGTGCCCTCCACGTTCACTGGGGCTGCAAGTCAATCTTCTGGCTCCAAAGTACTGAGAGCTTCTCCAGCAGAGGCAATTCAGTAGCTGTTATTATCAATCCAGTAGAATGGGAATTCTAACCTCTATGGATGCTAACCTATTCTGAACTCCTTGCGATTAGATCTGTTCCAGCTAGATGGCAATGGTGCTGGGGAGATCCTTAAAATGGCACCCAACCTTCTCCCAAGAAGACCGCCGTCTTCCAATGGAGTTCAATACTGAACAACAGCAAACCCCCAAAGCATCCCCTCTCGATGAAATGGAGGTGGCTTTAATTCCCACCAGTTACAATGCTATAAAAGTCACCCTAGGCAGCAGCAAATTGTGGTTCAACATTTAGAAGGTATTGCTCAACTTAAGCTTTTGACTCTACCTCTGGAAATGCTTTCAACTGAAAATGACATGTGTTTGCAAGGTGGTTGAAACTGGAATTTACTTCCAAATCATTCGGAAGAGGCAAAGGGAAGTGTAGCACCAGCAAATTAATGGCTTATGTTATTCCTGTATATTAATTAATTCCACACACATAGACATATATGCACCGAGAGAGTGTTTGTTATAGAAGGACTCACATTTTTACCATTCCACGGAAGGCTGCTGCAGATTAAAGCAACCTTCCTATGGTGGAACATCCCATTGACATAACAAGACCTTTAGAAAATCACTGAAAGGAAGAACAGCAAAAATTTTGATTTAAAAACAAAAGGCAAATTGTTGGAGAGTTGGCTGATGAAAAACAACAACATATATTCCCCTGAATTAAAATTACCTTTAAATAGCACATTTCCTTCCCCTGAACCAAGAGCATTCTCCTCCACAATCCCAGTTGTCTGGAAATAACACAATTATTTGGAATTCTCTTATGCAATAGTAATAACCACCACCAGAAAAAATGCAAAGGCATTGGCCCTTCAGCCAGGGCGACCTTACCTGGAATCGGGGTATTTGGTCAAAGTTGCTAGGCTGCTGGTATACATGTGACCTCCTACATCAATATGCACCGGGGCGTTAGATTTGGTGAGCTGGGCAGGCAGAGGAATTCCTTGAGCAGCAATGGGAGAAACTGGGGACCGTGTCAGAGACAGCCGGGACATTGCTCTGCCTTCCTCCTAGAAACCTCAGACAGAAAAGAACAATTTCCTCTTAAATTGTTGCAGTTGTGCGCTACCTTGATTCCAGCGTGATCACAGATCTAATAAGATCTCTTTTGCATCTGCCTGATCACATATTCAGCTAACAAATTATTGCCACCTTCATAATTAAGTGTATTTGCATCATAGTCTTCGAAGGACCAGCGGCAAAGAAAAAGATGCTTATTAGCAATAAGAAATCAAGGGGAAAAAAATCTTTTTCAAGGTGTCAGCCTCAAGGGGCATAAAACAAACTGCAAAATTCTAATTAAAGGTCGCAGGCTTATGTGTTAGATGTGAAATATCCCCTGACAAACGAATAACCAATTTGTGAATTGGGATTCAGGGGTTTTTGCAAGTTTGTCTCAGTAACAAGACACCTCTAAATTAGTGACTTCCTCAGTACCTAAGGCGTTTCATTTAGACATGTAGTAAAATTCACATCAAACTTGGAACTATTTTTGTTGCTTTTTAAATAACTAACCACGCAAGAAAACAGATAGCTATTTGTTATCTTCAGGACAATGTACCCAGAAGAGAGAATGGAAGGACAGGCAAAACTAAAGGTTTAATCAATTATCACTGCCCTGCAATGTCTTTTCTGTACATAATTTCCAATTATCCAGTGGCCTCACTTTGAAACACACACATACACCAATCCTCTTATATTTAATACCTAAAGCTGTCATTTCCACACACACACACCATTTGAAAGTTACAGATGCAATACGTCTTTAAATGAAATACATGTATTATCATTTTACTCACATGCTATGGAGTTCTGATCTATGCAGAAATATAAGGATGTTCACTTTTTAATATTTGACATGGGGAAGTCTACACGTTATTTTCATTGGCCTCGATGTATTGCAGGGCATATAGGTAGCCAGCAGAAAATCTTGCAAAAAACAGAGCAGCCCCAGCACTTCTAACCTCTCCTTTATGTATTAAATCAAAATATGCCAAAGATTAAACAATTATGAAATGTTTAATTATATGCAATGTTTTGAATATAATGCAATGTTGTCATATTGCAGGAGTCTATTCAGCCAAGAGTTGGCAAGTATCTCTCCTCTGTGGTATTTCACAGAACATTTTGGTTTTTTAGAGATTAAACTCTTTTCTCAGAATCTTCATCCTGGAGTTCACTTGGGCAAAACCATTCCCACCATACAACAGGCAACAACTGGAAGTGCTTTCCCTAAGACGGAAAATACAATTTTTGGACTTCAGGGACAAATGTAGCAACATGCTGGGCAAAGAGTCCTTTCTGTCTTTGGCATCACCTCCGGCTAGATCTCCATCATTTGCTCTCTCTTAGTAAAAAGACTCAACCTGTGCAGAACCCAAAATGATCAAAAGCCTCAGCTAGTTGACAGGAAACTCTTGATAACACAGTACTGTTCTCAAGTGAAGTTCTGACTCCAAGGAGGACTGAGTTTTCTAAGGGAGTGGATATTCCTTTCCTTCGGGGAATATTTCATGTGGCAACTCAAACCACTTGGTTTTTTATAAATACATGTGCTGTATATGTTCAACCTACCCAAATCTCACTGTCTGCTGGCATTGTATTCTATTTGCAAAGGTACCACTTCTCAAGGCCAGATGCCTAATCTTTTCCTAACAGCCACATTCTTGTGTCCATGCTCTTTTCTGAAGGTTAAATCCAAAACTCCACAGACCAACCTCATGTAGAATGGCTCAAGCCCAAGGAAAGTTATTTCTTGCTTTAAAAGTCCAGCCAGTTGAAGCTCACCCTTTCTTTAATGAAAAGAAACCTTCCCCCTTCCTTGTGTTTTTGGAATGAAATTTTAGAACCAGGAGCCTCTTGAAAAAAGAGCTTTTTCTTGAAATATATATGCCTGCTGCCCCGTCACCCTACCCAGTTCAAGAGCAAGTGTTCAACTTGCTGCTATAATTCTCTTTGATGTTAACAGTGCAGGAGAAACCTATCTAACATCTATATGGAAGACAGATCTTAGCTATGCCAAGGAGGCTTTCTTGGAAACAAATTCTCAGATTATAACATTTGTTAGGTGCTAAACAGCATTAGATTCACAAAACTTACAGAAGGTTTACTTTACTATCCAGTAGGGCTTACTTTGGAGCAATTTTGCACTGAGCTGCAGTATTTTTTTCTCTTTCAATATATAGCCAGAAAAACATATTATTCCCCTAGTAGGATTTCCTGAAATCCATCTTGTGAATTCTTTCTGCCTCACAGTAGGAGAAAAGAAAAGGCAAGAAAAGGGGAGTCAAACTTAACAAATGTGATCCTAAAACCAAGACCCGAATTTAAAAAGATGGATGCAAAATTACTCATCATTGTTTTCACAGAAGATGGACATCATGCTTTGAATTATAGACATGCAATTTATAAATGTCATATAACTCAAGCACTACCTATTATTATGCATTCAAATAAATCTTAAAATAACAACTCAAGAAATCCAGGTAGGATAACATTACGGATAGTGACACCAAGTTTCAAATAATCTGTGTCGGCAACCTGCCCCTGGAGAACAAATCGTGTCAACCTGCTGAAGGTATGTTGCTTCTCCACACACCAACCAGCCCAAAAATAATATGCAACTCTGAACGGCACCTTTCTATTAAGGTGGGAAGATTCCCAAGTGGCTCGTGCCCCAAACCAGTGGAGCTGATGTGTGCATCTGGCATGGCTCACTGGGATCTTTCCCTCCCTCCCTGCTTTCCTTTGCTAACTGCCAAAGCGCTGCTTGTAAAATCTATTTGCCCATGAAAAGTGAAATAAGCGCCATCCCATGCTCATTTACACACAAAATGATTTTGTGTCCCATGGAGCTCACAGTTGTTCAGCTCTCTAGGGGTGATTAAACCAGCTAGGCTGCTACAGCTTGAGATGAGTTTACCAGAATTGTTTCTCCACATAGCTGCTTCTCTGGGACACTTTCATTTTTATCCATAAAAGGTAACAGAAGGCAGTTGTGCAAGCTCCATTCTCCTCTGTGCCCATGGCTATCATCCTGGGGGGGGGGGGGAAAGTGGGGAGAAAGGCTGCAGAAATTCCCAGGGTATTGTCTGCCTGACTCTCTGCCTGCCCCCCACCCCCACTTCCCTCAAGCCCAATATTCTTCAATATTATTCACTATTCTTTCCTACTTTTAGAAAAAAGACTTCAAAAGTACAAAAGGGAAGTTGGTTTGGATGAAATTTTCTCCCATCTGCTCACAACTGGAGGGGGATATAGGAGCCATGGGGGGGGGGTTGAGATGAGAACTGATGGAGGGCAGAACTGAAAGCCCTCCTTCAGAGGGGAAGGTAAAGCAGAGGAAGTGCCGCCCAGGGGGCAGAAAAAGGAAAGAGGGCCGAAGAAATAACTGCAACAGCACAACAGCCGGGCCGAAGGAGGAACGGAGTTTACATCGGGGCGTTCCAGTCTTCGGGGCTGCAGATGGGAAGCCAGGCTAATTAAAGAGATGAAAACGCTTCTGCTCCCAAAGTTTACGGTTGCCTGGATTAACGACAACAATTGAAACCGGCGCCTCTTCTTCACTCGTGCAATTTATTCCTCCGTGCCCGTTTAAGAGCCGGAATGAATTCTGCGCCGACAGCCGCAACCCCACATTTCCAGCCGCCCCTGCAGTGCAGCCCCTTCCCCTCACGCCCCCAACCGGGCTCGGCGGCCACTCCGTCTCCAGGACCTCCGGCCTAGCCCGGCCCTCGGGGGCACCACGGCGGCCGGATCCCCTTCACCCCTTCCTTCCTCGCCGCCGGGATGCTTCCTTGTCCGGCGGGGGCGACCCCGGGCAGCGGCAGAGGGCCGAGAAGGGGTCCCGGGCTGCGACTCCCCTGCCCGGCGGGCTTTTGTCTCGGCTCCCTCCATGGAGCTCTCCCCCTCAGAAACTTTCTCGGCGCGCCGAACTTCCCGCCATCCTTCCCGGCTCGGCCCCGTCTGGACGGCAACCAGGCGGCGGTAAGGCAGCCGGCGCCGCGTGCGACCCATCCCCGCCCCTCGCCCGGCCGGGAGTCCGCGCGGCGCCCCCAAGTTCGCCGAGAAGCCAGGCCGGGCGACCCGCCTCCTCCCCCGGAGGAAAAGGCCAACATGGCGCCTGGACGAGCTGCCGGCACAGACGGAGCGGGGAGGGCAGAGCAGCCCCGCAGCCCCCGCTCGGCGCCAGACTCCTGCCCGGCGGCCCAAGGCCTCCCGCTCCCATTGTCATCCCTCCCGGCCCTGCGCGGGCCTCGCCAGCCTGCCTTCCCCCCGGCCCGTCCCCGCGCCCCTGCCCCTGCCCGTACCATGCAAGGCTGCAGAGCCGGCCGCCGCTGCCCGCCAACCCGCCTGGCCTGGCGGTGCCGGGGGCTAGGGCGCCGGCGCGAGCCACGTCCCCCTGGGCGGCGGTAGAGCTGAGGCCGAGCCGGGCATCGCGGTCTTCAGCGGCGGCGGCGGCTCTTGCCCCTTCCGATGAACCGGCTCCGGGGGAAGCGGCGGCGGCGGCGCGCGCGCGCCTCCCAAGCGGAGCCGTGGCGCGGCCGAGACGAGGCGGAGGTGGCGCCGAGCGGAGCCTGCGGGGAAGCGACGCTGGCGGCCCCCGTCCGTCCCCCCACCCTGGCAGGCCGGGGAGCGGGGCTTCCCCGGGGCCCCCGATCCCGCCGGGCTCTTAAGCAGCGCTTCCCCTGTGGCTCCGGCCAGGATCGGCGCGCGCGCAGACAGGCAGGAAGAGCCTCGGCCGGCTGGGCTGGACTTGCTCGCCTTACCTGGTGCGCCGCAGAACGGGCGAGCCGGCGATGCGCGCCCCGCCTCCCCACCCTGGCTGCGGGCTGTCCGCGGCGCTGCTCCGCTCGCTCGGCGGCCCGGAGAGGCAGGAGCCCGGCGCTGGCCTGCCTTTTGTCCCCCGCCGCCTCCGCCCGCTGGCTGCGAGCGCTCTGCCAAGCGGCTCCCCCCGTTCCGCGCCTCCTTTCTGTTTGTTTTGTCTCTGGGTCTGCGGAGGGAGGGAGGGAGGGAGGGAGAGCGGAGCGGATCGGCAGGCTAGGCGGCCGCCTCTCCGCTCGCCAAGCGCCGCGGGGAGGAAAAGCGCCGGGCGGGCAGCAGCCGCGGCGGAGGCCGAGCCTCGCTCCGGGCTGTGCCCTCTCCGAGCGTCCTCCCTCCCGCCCGGCCGCCCCCGGCGATCCGGCCCGGGAAAGCGGAGCATCCCCACGGGCTGTTCGGAGCGGCCCCCGCAGGAACCCTCTTCCAGTGGCCGGCACTTACTTTCCGTGCCCGCTAAGGATGCGAGCGTCCCCGCTGCTCGACGGCGTCAGGCCACGGCGGCTACGTCCCTCCGGCGACGGGCGGGCGGGAAAGCGGCTGGGCTGATCCGAGCCATGTCCGCGCCGGTTCCTGGCGCAGCTGCAGCCGGCATCGGCGTCGGGCTCCCGGGCAAGGAGGAAGGCGGGCAGGGCCGACTCCTCTGCCAGCGGAGGGCGGCGCGCGAGGGGCACTTGTTGATAAGGCGGATCAAGTTTGGCGCTTCCACGCGCGCCCCGCCCGCCTCTCCTCCCGCCCCCGACCTGCGCGGGAAGCGCCGAGTGCGCCGCGGGCCCTGGCGAGGCTCCGCTGACGTGCCTGGCTGGGCCCCGCGATTGGAGGGAAGCGGCGGACGCCGCGGGCCAGAGGCGCCGTTTCCAAGACGGGCTCGGCGAATGCAGCTGCCGGGGGCCCTACCAGGCCCGCCTCGG